CCCGTGGTTTTCTTTAAAACCTCCTAAACTTCTTTTTTTACTAATGTGACGGTAAAAATGAAACGTGTTATCGTTACTAACAATATTAAGATCGCTAAGATCAATCATATTTTCAGAAACTTCATTAAAAAGTTTATCAAAATAACTCACCCACCTATGTTGAATATCTTTTTCTAAGAAAAGACCTTTTTTATTTTCATCTTTAATACACTTTATTTGGGTTAAATGTTTACTAGTATTTTCTCTTTGTTTTGCTAATTTATACATATATTTTTCACCATCCTTAATATCTAATCTATCATAAGGATCACTAAAAGAAGAATTTTTAGCGTCACAGATTGTTCTGTTAGACTCCCTGCGAGACATTTGATATTTTTCACATTTCTCTAAGTTTTTACAATTAAACCATTTTTTATAACATAACTTCTTATATTTTATCTTTTCTTGCACATTATTGTTCCACCACCAATTATTTTTATTTATAGAAACTTTTTCTTTTGATTCTCCAAGTACATCTTTTGTTACTTGTTGAAAATAGTGTTTGTTATTTCAGCCCACATAGCATTTGCTTCTTCATGAACTTCCCAAATTTTGTAATCTTAAATTTTACTCATAAAAATAATTTTATTTGTCTTTTAGGTTCCTCCATCTAATTCTACAATGAAGAGTCCTAGCATTCTTTATTTTATAACTCCATCTTAAAACCTAGAACTAATAATCAATGTTGGGTACTTAAATCCTTACTTGGAATGATCTTACAATCTTTACAATCTCGATAATCTCTTCTTCTCATAAGAAAAAAATCAAAAATCAATTTGTGAAAAAAATCAATTTGTGTTTTATTAGATCCATTCTTATAAGTAATAAGATGCACATCCCTTTTCTTGAATAAAGTATTAGTAATAATAAAATCATACGCTAAAGCAAAATCTAAAATGACACTACCTTTTTTATTAGTCATTCCAAAACCGTAGCCACCATGAATATTTTTGAGATCTTCTACCACTCTACCGACATGTCCATTTAAATCTCCTCCAATAAAAATTCTTTCTTCAAGAGGTGTCATTTGTATTAAGTCTTCTAAGTCATTCCAAAATTTATCTTTAGACACTGTATCTAAACCTACTTGAGGAGCATAAGCACTTATAATATTAAAAATATTAGTATCAATAATAATCTTAAGGACTATAATTCTATCACCAACTCTATTAATTTTTACAATATTATCTTTCAAACTCTTATATATAATTACACCTACACTATTTCTAGTGTGCCTCTTACCAGAATACCAAAGTTTAAAACCTAAGTTATCAATCTCCTTAGTTTTTTCTCCCACTCATTTAATTTCCAGAATACATAAGATATTAATCTTTCTATGAATCATAATATCAACTAACTCCATTAACTTATCATTGAGAGTACATATATTCCAAGATCCTATCCTAATTTTAGTTTCATTAGTTTCATGGACCAGCTTCTTTAACCGCATCCGTCTGAAATGTAGGAATCCTTGCTTATTAACACTACACCCGGATCACAAAGCAAATGCAAAAAAAAACAAGCACAAAAAAAATTCAAGATTAGAGTGATTCAATTATATTCACCTACATACATAACCACATAAAGATCAAATAATCCAATAAACTTTTAATACCATATAAATTTGAAAGATAAACACTGAGATACCACTTTGATATAATAACATATTGGCAAGGAACAAAAACTATTTGCCTCTACTGAAATCAGAGACTACCAAGGCACAAATAAAAGAGTGATAACAGAAGATTAAAATGAAAGAAGAATCGACTGTTAATGAAGTAAGAAGACCCAATTACTACAAGAACCGGAAGCCAGCTTTGGCGAAGCTAGAAAATTCTACTATGACAACAAACATTAAGATGAATTCTTTGAATTTCAAAAAAAAGATTTAGATTTATCATTCATATACAAAAAAGGCTTAGGAATTATAATTAATCTGCATTTATTGAATATTTCTTCTGACATTCCATCCAATCTTTGGGCATAAGCAAATAAATGGAAAGCTAATTATCTTACTCCTAGGAAAGCTAATACAACAAGCAAATATAATAAAATTTAAGACTTCCAAAACAATTGATTCAGGTGGATTGGCAAAGCAGCGCCAAGGTACATAAATGAAGAGGAAAATACTAATGACTAGCATCACTAGCACCTAAGGGCCTAAATGCATAATTTCTCTCTTGAGTAGATGACACATATGCACTCAGCCTTGGACCCAGTCCATTCTCTTCAGAGATAACATAGCTATTAGGCTAGACACCAGCATAACAATACTACCCTCTCAAAAGACACATTGTCCTCAAGGTAGAAAAAAGTGAGGGTGTCTCACCTTCTCCACCACAGCTACCTCTGATTTTTCACCATCCGCCTCCTCGTTACACACTGTGAGAACCTGTAATGTTCGATCATTGCAACGGTGTCCTGGGGCAAACATTGCATCACATCAAAAGCATAACCCTTTAACTCACTTCTCCTGAATCTATCTCTATAAGGAGCTTGAGAGTTTCTCTCGATCATGACCCATGATTCTTGTCCTATGAAGCCTCTCTTTGGACTTCCACTATTTGAGTTTTGGTAACATTATGGTTGTGGCAATTTGATATGATGCTCAACCCGTGCCACTCCTATTAGCCCATCCATTACATTTTTATTTCAATAAATTGTGCTAATTCAATAGTTTCTCTCAATCCTCGCAACCTCAGCAGACATATTGATGCTAAAATCTCTGACTTCAACCCTTTCATAAAGTTTTCTTCCAACGCTTCTTCTGATACTCCCTCAAGCCAGATAGCATCTCAACAAAACAAATATTTTATTTATCCAAAGTGAATAATACAACCACGAACACATAAAATAAATGATAAACAACTACAATTCGAGAGACAAGCGATCTCCTAGAATTTCTACAATTCAAGAGGTGGGAAATCTCTCCCAAATCCTAAACCTAAGATTCACAACTCAATCTTCATGCATACTCCAACCCTAAACATAATAAGCTTATTTATACCCAACAACTTAGACTTATTTATACTAAACAATAATAAATGACAAAAGATTAAATTGACCTTAGGTGCCCAAAAGACAAAATTACACTAGGCACCAACGTAACAAGACCCATCTCCCCCTCTAAAATGAGAATCAATAATGCAATAGAACGCCATGATTTCTTCCCCGATCTCAAAAATTTCTGGTAAAACCCCACCTTTTCATTTTTTTTTATTGCAACAGTACATAAAGCATTACCCAAACTCGGCTACAATACCAAATAAACTCACCTTTTTTTTTTTGGTTTGTCAAAAGCAGTTCCTGTTGTGGATCCTTTTTTGCGCACAAGGTATTGGGAATTAGCTAAAGAGAGGTATATATAAATCAGAATTTACATAAATTTGAAAACTACAATAAATCCACATGCAAGAAAACAAGATTTTGCAAAACTCTCAAAATTGATTACATAATTCTTAAGTTATTCCATTTGCCTAAACAACCCAAGTTAAATCTCAATGTAGGATTTACAAAGATGAGGACGTATCATATCACCATAAGAGAACTCTAAATTTGGAAATCAATTTATCTCCATATTACCAAACAATCGCCCCTTTGGACATTAACTTTTGATGTAAATTTTAACAACCTATAAACAAATAACTCTCTATGCAGCTTCTCAAAAAGCAAATTTCAATTTTTAAAGCAGTTTATATTATGCATCATTCACCTGTAAGAGATCTCAACAGGCCTATTGCATACTAAAGTAAATCCATCAACATCGAGTCTGCACCTGTTATTGAATTTTCACATCTCCAAAATGATTCTCTCCTTATTCTAAATGTTGCACTTAACAACTTGGCAATAGATAGAATTAACATTAATATATAATCTTCATAATCATCTTAAAAAATTTCCCCCCCAAATCATATGCCGCTTTTAATTTTCGAACTGTTCATGCATCCTTGAATCTAGATATCATTTACATCCTCAAATTGTGAAGACAGCTTTGAACACAATAAATATTAGAAGCACAATTTTCACTTTTTTTTCCACATTAGATAGGGAATGACTTTCCAATATCATCATTTTAACATATTCATGCCTAGATGTATCACATAGCGTGTTCTTTTTTAGGAAATAGAGACTATGAAAGGTACCCCACCATTCAAAATGTGTTTATTGTACATTTTAACATAACATGATACCTTCTACTGCAAAAATCCAACAATCAATATAAAATATGACACTAAATAGGAAATAATGGAGAAAAAGGATTCATGTAGCCGAACCCACTAAGTGTGATAAAGGTTTGTTGTTGTTGTTGTTGCTGATGACATTTTTACTATAAAAAGCCAGCAATCAATTTCTAACAAGCTCAAGGCCTATGCAATTCTATCTAGACATAAGAAACTATTAACACCAATGAATTTACTAAATGGTTATTCAATTCCCTACATTAGTGGTGTAAAGTAAAACAAATATAGAGGGTTTTTAAAATTCTGGAATTTGACATTTGGATGGATGAAAACGGAATTTAGAGTAAAATTCTGGTTAATTTGGAATTCACAATGCAGTTTTAAACTATTGTGTTCCAAATTTTTTAGATTTGAACAATTTCAAATATACAGCAAACTGCAACCTGTTGTAGCTGCCACAGTCACCTGCTCCCAGCTGCCACACGTTATACACCACACCCCATTGACCAGCAGCCGCCACCGCTT